GATAGTTCGCCTGTGGTGTCAGACAATACAATGAATTATAACTTAAGGAACACAAATGAAGAACGCAGGACCGCACAACCCATGTGCTCGAGAAGCACGAATTGTCATTGGAGATTGATAAAGTAAGCATTTGCTCACGCATTATTTGTCCAGCAAGTAAGCACCTCGACCTCTTGTGATCGGGATTCAGGGAAAAAGTCTGAGGCAAGCTTTTGAAGTTCTATATATAGCAAAGAGGCATGTATTACGTCTCTGATACGCCATGTGTCATGGATTCCATTATGAAGGTGTCGACACATATACGTTCTCAAAGGAGCAACAGAGCAGTGGGTACAGCCTGTCTCATGCTCATAACCTTGTTTTGGCACGCGCAACCCTTCATATTATTTAACCATCTTAGCAGCGTTATCTACTACTCACATCGGCGTGGGTGACCTAGGTTCCTGTTCCTGTTGCGGCTCGGCTTCTGCTGTAGATTGAGTCGGCCTTGTTGGTTCAGCCGCATCCTCCTGGACCACGTCGGCACTGCTCCACGAAGTAAGAGACAGTAAGAATGACAATACCGACCCATGAGTATACGTTTCCAGAGCATGAATTTAACATTAAACAGACATTATAATCCTTCAGCTCCAAGCATTCCCTCAAAGTTCCAAGTCGTGGATCTTCCGCAAAACACCTGCACTGGATGTGAAGGTTCAGTTTCTGGAAATCTTAAACTTTCTCGAAATTCTGTAAGTACTAAAGTGCCACTCAGCATGACTTGTTGCCATAGGAATACAAGAAAACAGGACTGCTATCACCGCATGAGGCCCATGTCTGGAGCAAGGCTGACCTTTCCATCGTGAACACTGAGCTGTATCAATTAAAAATAAAATGTAGGGGATGAAGTTTTCTAAGGCGTCCCCATACTTTAAAAAACAATTCAAATATGCAGGAAGCTGTATCGCAGGGACTGTTCGCAATCAGATAAAGGAGATTGTACGTACCTCATGCCGAGCAAGATCACCCGAATGTGAAATTAATGAGCGATGATGACGGTGATATCTTGTTCTTCATGGCTCTCACCCACAAAGAGGAATGGATGGAGACCATGTAGTCAGGGTGTTTAGAATAAGGCAGCGGGAGCTCAGAAGCACTCGAAACTTAGACTGCGAATGAAATATCGAATAAATGAAAAAATATAACGAAGAAGTAGTCAGATTTCAAAGTTGGAATTACTTAGATGTGTGATAACGTGGGAATTACTAAGATCCAACTCTATCATTCCCCAGCATAGTCTCCTCTAAAGCTTTTGGCTCTACTTGCCCTGATTGTGGTGAGGTTAGTGACTTCACACATATGTTCTGGTGGTGCCCCTCGTTACGGGGCCGAAGTCGGCTCATGGAAGAGGATTGGGACTCTGCCTTATGAAGTGCTGAGTTACTAACACAACTACGGGCTGTCCAAAGAGCCCACGATGCGACGTTGAGGATAGGCCTCCCCGTTCCTACGTGGAAGCAGCCCGCGACGTTGCTCTAAAAGAGTGGCGTTTCTCAGGACCCAATAAAGTTCTCTGACTGCCTGTGTCTTTCCTGTGAAGGAAACTGGCCCTGCGAGCGTTCCTCTAATTTGCGGTTCCGGCCTTCGCCAGCTTTTTCCTTGAATGAGTGATCGAGTGCGGCCAAGCTGCTACCTTAAAAAAAATGGCCCGAATCTGCACGTTGCACTGCAAATGCCGTCGAAAGACGATAGTCTTGCGTCTTGAGAGAGTGAACAAAACGTTTATTTGATGTTCTGCGCAAGAAAACCGGTAAATGGTATTCTGGAGGTGCTGCGTTAGAGTGCCTTGAGCGTGTAGCGGAGGCGAACGAGTGCATCGAGGCACGTTAGACACGAGCGCCATCTGGCAGTTATCTTCGAAAAAGAAGGCGTGCGCGCCCGCGGAGAAAGATGCGCACCTGTATCGGAGGTGATAAGGTGTAGAACGCCAAGCGATGGGCAGGTGCCACCACCGTGTTGTCATAGCAAAGCCTTGGAAACACTTACCTTTTTGAGCATCGTGTTGCGCTGTCAGTGCAGCGCGATAAACGTTACAGCCCTTAGGGTTACTTGTGTGTGCGTTTCCTTGAGGAACGTACATGGTTCCCACGCCATCGATATCACATCGGTGAGAAGTAGCGCCTGTAAGTTATAAAAGCGAAAACCATATGCATTGTTATTAAACGCATAACTTGACTTTCAGCATCAGTGGCGTCGACCCGAGGAATAAAAAAGTGGTCACGTGATTAACTCGTAATAGACGAAATTTTCTGACGTCATCGTGTCGTGAGGTCACCACATGATGTCATTGCTAGGTCAAAATCGGGCCGATGACAAAGCATAGCAAAAACCCATTGATTTGCAGAAGGCTTGCGATGCCTCCAACCATGGAGGCAATGTGCAACACATCTACTGAGAAGGAGAAGAAAAGATGGCTTTCGCAAGTCGTCCAAGGTGACTACACAAAAACATAACCACTGTGCTATAATGGTATTTTTATTGTTATTTTTGGCTCCGAATGCATATGATAGTCGGACTTTAATCTCGTGTAGTATATTCATTCATTATTTATGGCGTTTTGGGGGGCGAGGCTTCTTAAGGTCGAGGCTCGTCGGTAACCGTAGCCATGATGACGATTATGCTGATGTTAAAGATTATGAAGATCACGGACGATGACTGGCCTGTGAAGTATATGACGTCTCGATATGATCCATGCGATGCATTTGGTACGACTGAAAACAACCAACAACCACTAAGGGAAACATGCACTGACCTTATTTATGCCAACTTCAGGCTATATTATATACCACGAAGCATTTATATTGAAGGCGAACCAAAATGCACAGGTGAACACAACATACCATTCATGACTGATAAACCTTGTATATAACTGTACACCACTTTGTTACTCATTTATACACTACTTTGTTGCCCCCCCCCCCCCGAAGGAAGCATCGAGCGCACAGTAGTCTGGCTGAACAAATCAGAAGTTACGTTTTCCGGCCGTTGGCTCGGGATTGATGCTTCCACGGCATGCTCCAACTCCTTTGTTTGTGTGCCGCGCAGGTGTCTTACGGCCGCAGTTGTTTTTGTCGCGTGAGGTGAATATGCAGGAGATCGAAATTCAGACCGTGAATTCGTGAAAAATGTCTCCCAAGGTCCTCCGCTATGAGGAAAGCTTATAATATCTACCCACAGTGACCACTGTTATGGATTGCTGCAGGCCACGGAGGAATGTTTTTTTTTCCTCCGTACTGCAGGCTCGACTGCAAGGACTATCACAAGAACAAAGCATGGTTGATGTGAACGCCAAGTTGGGCTTGCTGAGGCGTCACCCGATGGTCTTCGTTGCAGTAGGAAGACTGTCCACGTGCTAAAAAAAAAACCTCGTATCAGCTGAGAGAGCAGAAAACATTAGTAGCGGCAAGTCGCGATGTCACCAGTAGCGGTAAAAATTATTATGCCTGAAACGTAGCTCTCTTTTTCATTGAGCCACCTGCCAGCGCGCCATCTGGAGGCCACGCCTCCTGCCACGTGTTGCGACCTCTCCTTTGTTTGCAAGGGGTGGCCCTCAGAGGCACTCACCTACGTACCTAAGGAGGAGGGGGGGGGGGGGGGGGGTAACATCCTGCGATACGGTAGCGCGTTCGGGGCTTCCGCTCCAGCATAGTTTATGTAAGAAGCGTTAATTTACGTTGAGCTACGTCGGGAGTTCTGCCACGAAGGCGTTCACAGTCCAATCTTGCATCTCCGAGACGCTATCAGCGATTACTACGGAATTTGTCGATGCTCATAGTATGGAACTGTTTTTAAACACGAATTGTTGTTTCCATTTTTAAGGTGTTAAATAGTTCTAGCAATATTTACCGAATGGTTACTTTAAAGACCGACAACTGGTGAGATACTTGTAGAAATGAAATACTACTAGTGATTGGATTCTAGCAGAAAGGAAAAGACCATAAAATAGAGTGTCAAATTCCAACACTCCTTTCGCATTGTGGCTAGGATTTATATTTGCAGATCATGCTTAAAAGTAGCGAAAACCGTTACCTTGCGCAGCCTAGCGTATGAGCCATAAGCTGAATTAAGGAATTATGAAGTCGATCACTTTTCTGACCGTATGCACACGGAGTCCGATGTTGTCGTGCGCGCCTGCCCTCAAAATTAGACTGCGGAAATTCATTATCCAGCTTCGCTCAATTCTGTGCTGCTTACTACGTAAAAAAAGTTGCGCAATGAGAAGCCGCGTCGCGGCTGCCAGTGTATCAAGCCGAGCCACCGCGCATGCGCAATAAACCAGCGCTCTGAACACAAACCGCTCTTGCGCCCTCTATTTGCCGCATGTGAGCATGCGACTTCATATTTGATTGTTTCGTTGATATGTGGGGCTTAACGTCCCAAAACCACCATATGATTATGAGAGACGCCGTAGTGGAGGGCTCCGGAAATTTCGACCACCTGGGGTTCTTTAACGTGCACCCAAATCTGAGCACACGGGCCTACAACAGTTCCGCCTCAATCGGAAATGCAGCCGCCGCAGCCGGGATTCGAACCCGCGACCTGCGGGTCAGCAGCCGAGTCCCTTGGCCACTAGACGACCGCGGTGGGGTACAGCGTAAAGAAGAGGGGAAAAAAACACGACGGAGCCAGTCTTTGTCGCTTCTTTGCACTGAACACACTTGGGAGTTGTCAAAACAGTGGACGTTTTTCAGCGGTCTAGTACTCGTTGCATAATTGCCAGTACAGAGCCGCCGGGTTTTGGTAGTTTCGCGAGGGTAAAAAGCTGCGGATGAGTCAGCATAATCAAGGCAAAATTTTCTCTAGCCGTGTTGAGTGAGTTTGGCCTTTTGGTGACTGCTCAGCACAAATACATGAAACGCTAAAGCGCGAAGAAAAAGCAGAGCTTAGTTTAGTGTTCTTCAAGCATGGATGCCAGCATCGAGTTATCGGTTGGCTTCGCGAAAAGCGAAGCTGGGGACGAGTCAGCACAACTTGAACGCGGGTCCCATGGTGGACTTGAGGACGAGTGAGTGCACGTGGTCCCAGCCCTTCTTGAGGCGCTCCAGGAGCTGAGTCTCGGTCGCCTTCACGTTCTCGGCCAGCTGGTCGGCGCTCATGTTGACGTGGCCCACGCGAATGCTGAACGTCGCCTTCTGCGCATGACGTCATCGAAACAACGAGGGCTCCTCACTGTTCGCAGGATACTTACACAGCAAATGTAAAAATTACTCGCTGCGTCAGCTTGTTCATCGTACGCCATAGAGTAGACACGAACACAAACAAAAACGGGTGACTTGTTCTCTCCAGCGATTATCCTCTCCGCAAATATGTTGAAGCGTATTCATGTTTTATTATTCAAGCTACATTCAAGCTTATTAGTGTGGCACTCACCCACGTTGCATTTGTGCGGCTCATATAATATTTGGAAACAGTCGGAGTGTGACGTCAAGTACAATCTGTCAAATAAGTGACCACAATTTTGTAGCGCAAGAAAAATAAAAAAAAAACGAAGGCCAAAGGCTGAGACGGAGACAGCACAAGCGATAAACATCACAATCTCATATCCTCGATTCTTGACCAATTCCCCTGAGTGGGCAAGAGCCATTGTGGAGGCATCATCATCATCTTCATCAACATCATCATCATCAGCCTGACTACGCCCACTACAGCGCAATGACTTCTCCCATGATCCGCCAGTCAACCGGTCTTGATCTTTTTGCTGCCACGTCATACCAGCGAACTTTTTGAAACTAATCGGCCCTTATAACTTTGTTTCCCCCTCGTGCGTTTTCCTTCTCTAGGAAGGCAGATTCACGAGGGGGAGACCAATACCATGTTTATTTGGGAGCCCGTATCTCACGTACCCCAATCATGTTATAACAGTACTAAATAACATTTAGTGTTGTGTACTTTAATTGTAGCACTCTTTAGCCGTTTATTACTGAGCGTAATATAAGAAATGCTTCTAATTCAAGTATACAGTCGTGTGTGTTCCCAAATAAACATGGTTTTCAAGTTTACCGCTTGTGTGTACGTTTGTGTCTCTTGCCTCCATTTTTCGCGCTACCAATTCGAAGTCATTCATTTCTACCTACCAGCCCAAAATACTGCATTATTCTGTCAAATATCCCACAGGCCACATTAATTTGAATGAAACGAGATGCTGAGTAACTGCTGCTGATTGTCCGTCTTTTGGGCTTTCGTCTGTTGCATTTTATCTTCGCCTTCGCTATCTTTATACTTTCCGAGTCCACTGTTCAGTATTGTGTGAACTGCAATATTTTTTGGCAGTTACTTTCAGGATAGCCCTCAATGGAAGTCAAAGCTAGATATGAGGTTTAAATACAGCCTATGCTATCAAGATCCCAAAACGATTTAGAGTAATAGCTGAGCAGTTACCTGTCTGACGCAGTTACCTATCAGACAAATGCTGCCGCTAAGCTCGAAGGCGCCGAATGTATTACGAGCCACAGATCCCGAACTATTGTTGGGTTGAAGTGCATGCATTTACATTGAGGCACCGTTCAACTTTCTACACGAAATTGTTGTACGCCAGGATCCACCTCGGCTACGCGGACGTATTTCCGTCACGTATATATATCGCTAAATATAAACTAGCACGATAAATACAAATCTCTACTAAAAAGCCCTCTCGCCGGGAGTCGAAGTTGCGACCCCTCGCTTCGCAGCTCGCGGTGCTACATGACTGGGCCATGTTCTTGAACATACTGACGGCGAGCTATTTATATACATTGTTTGCCATTAGCGGTACTACGAGCTCCATCGATTCAGTGCGTTCTTGCTACGACTAGCTAAATGGCACGAAGGGTATGTAGGACACGCAATTACGGTGGTTTCTAAGATCGCCGTGAAGTGACGAGATCAGCCATGTGATCATCGGCGTCACATCGGCTTTTTGAACGTATGATAGGACGTTCAAGACTGAAAGCTTGTATGCATGTCTAAGCAAACTGCGTAGCAGACGGGGCTTGTACACTAGTGTGTTCTCAATACGCATTCGCACTATGTTGTACATCCTTAGACACTACATGTCCATGGGTCAACGCTTGCACGACTTTATTTTAAAAAATTGCGAATATGTACGGGTTAAAAGGGCCCTAAACCACGTCGAGTTCAAAGACCAGTGCGTGTGGTTTCTTCCTTGGCTTCAGTATACGCTTCCAACTAGCGCTATCTTTGGCTCCCCACTTATTTCTTCAACAAAAAAAACACATGAATCGTCAGCACTGGGCATGCCGCCCGTCAGGATTTTGCTTTTTTAAACTCTGCTCTGCAATGTCCTCTTACACAGACTAAAATGTAGAAAATAAAGTGAAACAAGTTTATGGCGTATTATGCCTAGTTCACACTGAAACATCCGCTTTCTGCAGTGACCGAAATTCCCCTGCCGCCGAAACACAGCGTCGTTCGCACTGGATGCGCCCCGCGCCGCCGAATATGCCATCTACCTCGGGGTGAACGCGGGATAGATGCGCTGTCACCCAGTTGTTGTCGCGGCTCGCAAACGCTACTACGCTATCCAGTGGTGCATACTTCGACGATTCTCGTACGCAAGAAGCAAGAAAAGACAGTACTGCTTACTTTGCTGGCAAGTGGCTGTCTTGTAATGCACGAAGAGCAGAAAAACCACCGACGCCAGCGGCGTTGGTGGGTTTGTTTTGCTTTGCAAGACCGCAACAAGCTCGGTCACGCCAACAGCAAGCTCGGTCACCTCTTTCACGAAATACAGAGGCGAAGTAGGCACAGAGTAGGTTAAACTCCCGTTGGTTTCAACATTCATTTACGTGCACTGCGGCATAACAAGTGAGTAGGGCTTGGCCGCCATTTTTCAAAATTCCTTGACTAGCGCTTCTATTGGTCCACGGTGACCTATTTGGCGGCGGACGCCGCAAAAATCGGTCCGAGAGCGATCGGCGCGGAGGGGGCCCTTTCGGCGGAACTCGCCGCCGCCGAACCGGATTCGGAGCACTTTCGGCGGCCGGATGGCTCAGTGTGAACGCGGCCTTACAGCGACTTTAGACAAGACATAACAGGTATTCGACTGCATGGCAAGGCAGGGTACGAGACAATTCACAACAGATATCTGTCATGTCGACCAATCGAAAGCTTATTTTATCCTGACGTCATGTGAGCGAACTTCTCACGTCACGAATTGGGCCGCAAACGAGAGAAATGCCATCAGAGAATAATGCACTCTTTTTTTTTGGCACTGTCAATGGGCCCTTTAAAAACTTCCAGACCCTCGTCGAAATAAATCAGGAGTTCCTTACCAAGCAAATAAATTACCAAATATCTTCCGTGTTGTGCGTGCTTAGTGTAAAGGACGGCTGGAAAGGCCCACTATCGATGGTTGCTTTCGCCCACCGAATTAGGTGCTTCAAACCATGTCGTTTCGATTGCTCGTGAAACCCCAAGATTTTGTAACCCATGACATATACACGACAGTATGCCCAGTACGCATGATTTCAACCCACCGCCTTCATCCAAATCCGGGTGCTGTGCTTGAGCTCCTCCAGTTTGGCAGGTATTGATTCGGTCGGAGCCACGGCAGTGATGCATTTGTGTTCCTGGCTGAACCCTTGACCCAGAACCTGGTTGAGATCTCTCACCAACGCCTCAGGTGCCAAGAAGACGTCGTATTTCGACGCTGCGGCAGCAACACAAAAACAAACTCTTGCAAACCCATCTACAGACTTCTAGAGTGTCTGACATCAGTACTATTTGGTTAATCGGAGCCTAAGAATAAATGCGAGCTACACCAAATGCAGGCTATGGTAAACGTACTCTACTTACGGCCACTAACATTCAACGGTTTCTTACAATAAACCAGTTATACAGTTGCTTTCCTTACATGTTTTTTTTGCTTGTTTTATTATACACAGAAAAATATTATTTTCCAGAAAAACAGATTTTTTGCCGCCGTTTATATATCGCTGGCATACTACACTGCATGGGAACGAGGAAGAGGAACTGAAGATTTGAGAAGAAAAATTTACTTTAATATCAAAATAAAAGATCTTATCCGCATTTGCTGAGTATCACACTTGCTCAGAGTCATCTTTGTACACAGGAGATTTTGAACTCGCTTTCGAAAACGGTTTCAGTACCCCTTCAATGTCGTGCGAAATAGACGGACACCTACCGAGCTGCCTGATGGCCTTGCTTTTCCTCTTCAGCTGCAAAACTTGGGCACAAACCATGAAGCCCAAGTTCATGGCCTTGGCCTCTTCGCTTTCGGTCGCATCGCCGAACACGCAAACACGCAGGTTTTGTTTGACAGGGTACGGCATCCTGTCCAAAGAGACAACAAAGCAAGGTCCCATAAGAACCTATCACACCGTTATTGCTTCTCGTGTGGCTGACGAATGTGGTTTACTAAGTCCTTATCAAGTAAGTTTCAACGAGGCTAACATATATAAACTTAGAAAGCCTAACTTGAGGAAGAAAAGCAATGTCAATGTAAAGGCTCGTTTTTTTTTTTGTTAGACACAATATTAATAATAACTAATAAGATCACACGCTACGTGACGCCAACAGGCGAAATAAGAGTGCTCCACATTCACTGTAGTGGCTACAGGTGGCGCTTACTGACGCTCCCACGTTTAAGTGCACATATATACCCGATAAAGCGGGTGAAGGGATGAGCGCCACTGTGGCACAGTGGTAGAGCATCTGACGCGTTATTCGAAGGTCGCCGGTTCGGTCCATGCCAGCGACAAGTTATTTTTTCGTCCACGTTTCTTTCATCGAATTTACACAGCGGCTACTTCTAATGGCATCCCCTACACTTTCCTTGGCCTCGTTGTGTGTTAGTTATCACTAACGTTAGCAACAGCCTTAAGTGGACATCGTAGCAACCGTTATTATTCCCTTCAGCGGCAATGACTACGTTTGCGAATGCAGTTTCTCTATGCTAACTGTGTCAACTTGCGGTCAAACTAAAACTAATACCTTGTTCATTTCATCAACTGACGGATGTGCATGGTCAATACGACTTGACTTCAGTGTGCTGCGTAAGACCATAGCCGGTCACTTTGGGGAAGTCGTGAGGATGTTCGATTAGTCTTTTGAAGGGCCAGAACCAACATCAAAAGTATTACCTTTCCTTCCTCGAAATGAGTGCTACGAAAAGCTGTCTACGTACACACGAGGAGCCTATGATTTCGTTCATTTTCTGTCTGAATAAAACATTACTGACAGCAGAATAACGAAGCACCTAAATACATACGACTTACAATTAATTGCAGAAACTCACACAGCAGAACACATTATTTCGTTTCCTTTTTTGGCGTGTAATATCGAGTGCCTTGGATTTCCGCTGTGTGAATTTGACAAATTCGTCGACAGTGCATCATAATTGGCACCTGAACGGGCTATACTCTGTTAGAAGTCAACAGCAGCGCGGCTTTTCGCTTTGAAGGGCCCTCTTTGAACCAATGGTGTCGCTGAGCCAGCGTATAACGCCATGGCCCACCGCTTTCCAACTAGAGGCAGCGCTTGAAACCAAGCTTCTATGAGTGCGTCCGCGCTTTAAGGTAGATTCATTTCGAGCGAAAGTAAAACTTCATTTTGATTTTTTTTTTCATTTCCCCCGTCGAAGAGTTCATCGGTCAGCTGGAGAGCGAATTCCGGATTCATTGCTGACGCTGAATTTCTGCTCATCGGGTTTTCTCTGAACTACTTGATGCTGGTTTCGCACAGTGCCGGCTCTCCTTTCCATTAGGAGCTCAAGCAGGCGACATTTGAATGTATTTTATCGTTCTAGAACGAGAAAGACACTTCATCTCACAGGGTATTGAAGAGCCGATCAACAGCGTAAATATATGTTCCAATACATGCATCGGCGACCGTTTCAAGTCAGCGTAGAGCGCTTAAGCATCCGACGAAACGCTATGGCGATCGTCGTCACCTAGCCCTGCACACAACTCACAAGCGAGGCTTTTCGTGGAATTCAAATTGGGATACGAATGAGCGCACTGAAGGCAGCTCGCAAGAGCGCAATTTCACTGACAACGCCGACGGATTGTCGCGGATAGCGGAGGCGGCCATTTTGATTGAGGTCCGTAAGCGCGGAAGAGCATGCTCCTTACGTAGTAAGCGTGGTGCGAGGGCGGTCAGTCATGGCGTCACGATGAAATGGCGAAGCCATTGGGTCAAGTGGCGTCATCTGACGGCGAAAAGCCGCACTGCTCCTATTTACTTGTAACCGAGCACGGAGGAAGGAAAGGTTCCTTTCCTTCCTCCGTGTAACCGAGTGTAATGATGTTGATGTACTGGCTCCAAAACTTTATTAGTGTTGTAGGAATGTGCAATCACTGTCATTATGAGTTGAAACACGCTATTTGTGTTAAAAATGGCGCCAACACTGCAAAGCGACACCTAAAGAGGGAAAAATGTAATTAGACTCTCTCAGTTAGCGGTACTTTCTCAAACAATTCAACGTTTTTCGGTGCCATTTTTCAGGCTTGGGTTCACTTCAACTGCAGCCGCAGCCTCTTGCAACTCAATTTGTGCGCGACTGTGCGTAACTTAGCTGAAAAACGTCCCCCATACACAGTTTAAATATTGCTGCATAGACGTCACGACATGCACAGAGGCCATTCAATGCGGGGCACCTATTTTTTCCCTTACTTGACGATGCCTCTGAGACGCCTGTACTTCTGTAAGTTGTAGTCCTGAAGCGTTACGAACAGGTCCACCGTCTCCAGGAAGGCGCGACGCTTTTTGGTCGCTGCTTCGAGCACCCCGTTGACGCACTCGTACAGTTTCTCCTGGGACACCGGCTTCGACGGTCGACTGGGTACGAGGAAAGTTTATTTATTTATTTCGTTATTTATTTGTTTATTTATTGCTTATTTATTTATTTGTCTTTACTTCTATGTTTATTTATCTATTTATTTATTTATTTATTTATTTATTTATTTGCACAAATGCATAGCCTAGGCAGGAGTTTCAGTATTTATTTATTTATTTATTTATTTATTTATTTATTTATTTATTTATTTATTTATTTATTTATTTATTTATTAGAATACCCTCAGGGCCCGTAGGGCATTACAGAGGGGGTGGGTACAACGTTTATAACACACAAGAAAAAAAGACAAAATAAAGAAACAAGTGTCAGATGCGCAAATCAGGAAGGCAACATAAGTCAACTAAAAATGTATAAGTAAGAATTCAAGCACATACAAGACAAAGATAGATAATGGAAACTGCGTATAGTTACAAGCATTGCTGAGAAATTGCAGTCTTGAATAACAAAGGGTCTGTTATTGTTACAACGGAAGAGGGAAGGTGGTTCCAATCGGCGGTTGTTTTCGGTAAGAAGGCTGCTGAAAAGAATTTGGTGCGGCAAAACGGAATGGCAACCTTATGCTGGTGATCAATGCGCGATGAGTGGTATGACGGTTGTGAAATGAGGTCTCGCTTCATTGATGGATTGTGAAAAAATGTCTTATGAAAAAAATGCAGTCGCGCCAGTTTCCTCCGGACAGTTAAATTGGGTAGGTCAAGGTTAGATTTCATTTCTGATATGCTAGCAGTACGGGAATAATTAGAACAAATGAACCGAACTGAGCGGTTCTGAACAGATTCTAACGCGTTGATTAAATTTTGCTGCACGGGATCCCATATAGCGGACGCGTACTCAAGCTTTGGGCGAATTAGTGATCGGTATAATAGAATTTTGAGGGACAGCGGAGCGCGAGAAAAGTTGCGGCGTAAGTATCCTAGCGTTCGGTTAGCGTTATTACAGATGTAGGTAACATGCGTGTGCCAAGATAGATTGTTGGTAATGTAAACGCCGAGGTACTTATATGAAGAGACATGCTGGAGGGGAACGGCGTTAATTCTGTAGGTACAGGGGGGAGAAATAGATCGCCGGGTTATTGACATGCATTTAGATTTGTTAGAATTGAGAGTCATAAGCCATTTATTGCACCAGGTTGAGACAGTGTCAAGGTCTGACTGTAGAAATTGGTTATCATATTCATTGTTTATTTCGCGGTAAATTACACAATCATCTGCAAATAACCTTATAGCGGAGTTAATGCTGTCTGGGAGATCATTAATATATATAAGGAAAAGTAAAGGGCCTAATACGGAACCTTGGGGTACGCCGGATGTTACTTTAGAAAGAGGTGAGTTATAGCCATTAGTTGTTAAGCCCAAACTCCATAAGCGCGAAAATGCACGCGACAGCGACGAGCGACGCTATGAGCGACGAAACAGGGCGTTCGCGCGACGTGTCGCGTGCTCGTTTTCGCGCGATCGCTCGGTTCTCCAGATTTGGAAACCGTCGCTCATCGCCCGGAAGTGCTGGGCTCAGGCAGCCAATAGTGAAAAACCGGAAAAGACGAATACTACATAGGTGCACGTGACCCTGCCCGAGTCACGTATGCGCAACAAGAAATAACGCAATGTTTATTACGCATGCGCATATAAAAAATGCTGCAAGGCAATAATAAACACTTTCCGTTTCATTACACAAATATATATCTTATTTTTTAATTGGAAACCGCTCGCTATGCGGTTTTCTTGGTGCGAGTTGACGGCTGTTGACGGCCTCATGCCAGCAACAGTGGAATTCGCTCGCCGAAGCCGTCGCGTGAATGAGGTTTGCCTGCGCTAGCGACTGATCGCGCGACGCCGATCTACGTCGCGTCGCTCGTCGCTGTCGCGTGCATTTTCGCGCTTATGGAGTTTGGGCCTTACAAACTGAGTGCGATTAGTCAGAAAGCATTCAATCCATTTAAGAATGTTCGGGTCAATGTTTAAGGCACTAATTTTCAGGAGGAGTAATTGGTGAGGTACTTTACCGAAAGCTTTTTGAAAGTCAAGAAAAATGCAATGCACAAGTGAGCCGCAATCTAAAGCCGATGCTATGTCATTAGTAAAATAAAGAAGTTGGGTTTCACATGAGTAACTTTTTCGGAATCCGTGCTGGTAGGGAGTAAAAAAAGAATTTGATTCTAGGAATGAGACAAGGTTGGAGTAAATTATATGTTCTAACATTTTACAAGGAACACTGGTTAGGGAAATGGGTCTGTAATTGAGAGGAGACTGTGTGTTACCATATTTGTGCAGAGGGACCACCTTCCCCACTTTCCAGTCAAGCGGCAAAGTGGAGGTCTGAATAGATTGCGAAAAGATTAAGGACAAGTAAATTGATGAATACAATGCAGTGTTTTTTAGAAACTTTGAGTTGATTTCATCTACGCCACAAGAAGAGGATAACTTAAGCTTGTGAATTAAATTTTGCACTCCAACGGCATCAACGGTAACAGGATACATGGGTAAAAAATCACGACTAGGCATTTGCGGCAACGCAGAAGCAGAACAACTTGAAAAAGAAGTAACAAAAAAATCATTTAATGCAATGCAACACTCTTCACAGCGAACTGGCTGCCCGTCTGAGTTCGTAAGCGAAATGTTTTTCTTTTCCCTAGGTTTAACAGTTTTCCAAAACTTAGAAGGGTTGGTTACAAGAATTGAGGGAAGGGTATTATTAAGAAAAACGCGCTTGGCTTCCTTGATAGCTGCTCTGTATTCAGAAAGGACAGATTTGTACACGTGCCAACGGGCTAACGAATTAGTCTGCTTTGCCTGACGGAACAACCGTTTCTTTTTATTCCGCAATTTTTTTAGGTCAGTTGAGAACCAAGGGGGGCGTTGGCGACCCTTGATAACGTATGTGGGAATGTATCGCGTGATTAAAGATTCAACTTTCATTTTGAACAAGTTCCAGTTTTGTTGAACGCTGCGATCAAAGAAGCCATTAGCAAAGCTCTCAAAATTCAATTCGAGTTCACTGTTGATTGAGTCATAATCGCCGCGTGAGTAGTCTCTTATTGTTTTCCGATTGTTTGACCGACGCCTTAAAGAACCTGTTAGATTGAAGTGCACGAAACAATGGTCACTTATGCCTGGGATATATGAAATAGAATGGACAAGGTCTGGTACAGTGGTGAGAATCAGATCAAGAACATTTGATGAAGTGGGGCCCATTCTTGTTGGTTGCGTTACGAGTTGGGTAAGGTTAAAGTCTTCGCACAGTTCCACGAAATGTAAACTGTCGGCTGAAAGTGAGCTTAATGAACAGGAAGGAAGTGACCAGTTTATTTTCGGGTAGTTAAAATCGCCTAGAATAAAAACAGGTGTATGCGGGTGCCTTTTGACAATATCATTCAAAGCATCATGCAGTTGCTCGCAAAACACTGGCGTCGCACTCGGAGGGCGGTAACAGCCACAAAATATGACACTTTGATAGTTGACATGGAGGGAAACACAGACAAATTCTAAAGGTGATGCTATTACTATATGGCTAGAAACTATATAATCAGCTACGGCTATAAGTACACCACCTCCTGGCGATTCTTCTCTATCACATCTGTAAATGGTATAATTATTTTCACAATCGAACAGCTCTACACTTGCAATGTTAGGGGTAAGCCAGGTTTCCGTTAACACTACAACATCGGCGGCGCAGTCATCAAAAATTGAAGATAATGCATCCCGTTTGTTAAGAACACTTCGTACGTTAGAATATAAAACTGAGTAGTTACGATAAGTAGCCGAGGGGTGAACTTTGTTAGGATAAGAGCGTATCTTCGTCGGCATGCGTAGCGGAGGACGAAGCTTCTGATGAGGTCTGCGCATTTGTATGCGGCTCACAAACGCTGTCGGTCACCGGAGAGTACACAAAGCACTTTTTGTTGATGTAAAGCTTATTGTACTTGACGGTATACTTCTCGCCACTCGCCCTGCCGAATTCAAAAAGCTTCTTGCGCACGCTTCTTGTTGCGCGGCAGAAATCCTCGCTGATTGACACATGAGACTCGCGAAAACTACTTCTAGACTGCAGTATGCTTTCTCGGAACTTAAAAGAAGCAAATTTTACGATCACTGGTCGATATTTGCCAACTACGAATCTGCCTAGCCTGTGCGCGCGGGATATGCGGTCGTCGCTACTTCCCAAGTTTAGCTTCAGAGTTTCATTGAGGATTTGGCAAATTTTTTCTTCTGATTGCGCCCACGTTTCCGAATCGCAATCTTCTATTCCATAAAAAATCAAGTTTTCTCAGCGAGAACGATCTTCAAGTTCGTCAAGGCGCTTGTTAACCGAAAGTACCTCCGGTACCCGTTGACGATTCGGCTCGCTGTCTGAGACCCGGACACATTCCTCAACTGCGCATAATCGGTTGTCTAATTCTGCCACTTTTTGTTCAAGAGACACTTGCGCTTCTCTAACTTCGTTAATGGATTCCATAAGTTCTTCGTGTTTTGCGTCTATCTTAGAGTGCAGCCCCTTAATCAACGAGATTAACTCGTTGTATTGCTTCCCCGTATCTTCTTTTGGCGGGCCCGGGTTTTCCTCAACATCACCGGACATAGCCAATATAACATCACTACAAACATTATAACTACGAAGTGGAAGAAAACTGATGATGATAAGAAAATTCAAAAGCGCAAGGTACAGAATAACCTGGTAAGGAGCACTGGACTGCTCTACGGATAACAGGTGGTCAAACGGCAGGCTATGGTTGTTTTCAGAAATAATGAGAATTTAAATCCATTAGTTATGGCAAAATTATGAGTTATAGAAAGCACGTAAGTATGACGAGCTCACCGAGTTGATGATGGAGATAAATACGGAGATCAGCCTAGTCGTGTCTCACACTATGGGCCATGGTGTGAGATATCTCACACCATGGTCTAGCCCAAGCTTCCGATTTGACAATATCAGAAATTCCAAACGCCGATATTTGACCCGGGATTGCAATAGAATAGCTCGATTTGCATGACTTGCACGAGAGCCCTGTAGGACTTGACAAACCATGGCTTCCTCCTAAACATTTGGCGCTCAGCTTAACTTGGCCACAATCATCTGAACAATTTAGTATACAACAAAATTAATAGATTCACAACAAATAATGTCAATGCTAGTGCAGTAATATTGCATAGGTGAGTGTTACTGGCATTAGCCATAATTTAGCCAATATTAGACGGTGCTAAAGAGCACCTGTACTGTGCAAGTAAACAGGGCCGTTAGAGCCACAAGGCTTAGCGGGATAGCCTGGTACAGCCTCCGGATCAGCCCGTATTTTTCGTCACAAATCAGATACCTTAACCATGGCACACTGCAAATAGAACAAGACAAAGAAAACGTCGAGTCTATTTTTCGTTTTCTGCTTTTTTTTATGTGCGCGTGTGAAAGAGCATGCGTTATTGTTCTCATATCTGTAAACTGTTATACTTTATCCTTATATTTGACGATTCGTGGAGTTCCAACGTTACATTTTATGTATATATAATATGCATGGCGAGCGTTATTATATGGCGATGTGAATACTATGTAAAAATCATTTTGTCAAATCTGTCATGTGCATGTTACTGCCATGTGAGGGGCCCTAAGCCATCGTCCAGTTTCTGCAACAGCGTTTTGCTAAGGTGTCCCTCCAGATTGTTTTTTTTTTTTGTAAATAACATTGAATGGAATGCACAGTCTTCCCTTCCCTATCGCACTTTAGTTATGGTTTAGACTTCCTTGTTTACCTACAAGAAACTTCCCTTACTTATAGACTTCATCCACGTATGTTAACAGCGGTAGGCACCGTCGACATACCGAGGCGCTTGTAGCGACGTCTCACTGCACGTGGGCTCCGCCCAGTCAAAAGCTCGCCATAGCCACCTATGAGCCCGTGATAACTGCCGCTGCAGCTGGAAAGCTGCCTCCGAGCACGTGGGAGGCTCCCCGGCATGCTGCGCTCAGAGGCAACTTTGCAGCTGCTGTGCCAGTTGTCCCATCATCATAGAGGGCATAGGCGAGCTTCGGGCTGGGCGGAGCTGATGCGCCACGGTGTCGCTACAAGCGCCTCTGTATGTTGACGGTGCCTACCCCTGTTTAAAAACGTGGAATATATCTACAGGCACCATGCTTGTAGGAAACGCAGCTCCGCACCACTGAAGGCTGTAACGGCTGAGATCCCTGTAGGAAAGTGCTTATTCAGGCATAACAATCCAGGCTCTTACGGTGGAGGTGGTGCTGGTTCAGCTGGTGCTGGTCCAGGAGCTTCTTGCTCTGGCTCTTCCGGCTGTGCGGGGACGTTCAGGTTGGCACTGCGCAAGAGTCGTCGTCGCAGAAAAAAGAAAAAAGACTGCAAATTTTGTTTATTTACTCTAGTGTACATGTCAGGTTCAAAAACGTGAAAAAAAGATGCCTAACTAATCGGTAGGATGCACGAGTGAGAACACGGGGCTCAAACTCTGGAGTCTGACCACTTCCGTCTGCTAGATGAAAATAGTCGCCTTCAGTCCTGAACTGTTCAAAAGTCATGGAGTAAAAAAAATTGGCCCCGTATCTGCATTGTAACACTGCAAATGTCGTTGAAAGACGATAGTCTTGCGTCTGGAGAGAGTAAACAAAACGTTTATTTGATGTTCTGCGCAAGAAAATTGGTGAATGGTGTACTGAATGTGCTGCATTAGAGTGCCCCGACGCGTTCAGCGGAGGTGAACGAGTGCATCGAGGTACGTCACGCGTGAGACATGAGCGCTATCTGGCAGTTATATTGAAAAACGAAGCGCGCGGCATGCGCACCCGTCTCGGAGGCTATAAGGTGTAGAACGCAAGGCGACGGGTAGGTGCCACCACCATGTCGTCTTAGCAAAGCGTTGGAAACACTTGTCTTTTCTTGAAAACGTTGCATTGTAAGCGCCGCGTGGTAAACGCTACGGTCCCTAAAATTACTTATGTATGCCTTTTCCAGTAAAAAGACACACATACAGAACATTGACATGTTGTTATGGTGCCTCGCATAAGCGAAATAATTGCTTTCTAATTGACAATCGCACAAGTATGAATACTGAAGCTTGGGCAATATTGGAGGGCTCTTCGGATGGTGTTGGTCGTTTGGGGAGTGTTTTGGTGCCATTTGGAGTATTGTTACGGCGTACAAACAGACTAATGTGCAGAAAGATCGACATTCAGGCAGAAGAAAGTTTTTGCGTGGAAGGTCCCCAAGAAAGACTGTCGGCTTTAAGAAAGGAATGTCATGATGTCGAAGGCTTCCACAAGGGGATGCCCCTTCATCAGAGCAACAAAAGCAGCTACGTCGTGGGTGAACAGCCATAATTTCACATCGTGATGTAGGTAACGCCCTTTTGAGAAAATTCCGGTAGCATCAAAATGTTTGGTGTTCGATGACTTCTCGCCCCGGCAGCTCTCTAACCTCGCCCGAACTTTTTCGTCTCTATGTTCCTCCTTCCGCATTGTTATTCGCCCCTTCCGGTATCATTGTAGGCCTTTTATCAGGACCTTATGTGCGTGTACGTGGCACTTATACTATGTCCCAACGTCAAGAACCCTGTTTGGATAATCTATCTCTAACGAAGATGTTTCTCCAGCTGACCTGAGTCTCTTCTCTGTCCGTAAGTCGTGTCTTGCTGAATGCCATCACCATTCGGCTAATCTGTCGTTTATGTTACCCCACATTAACTGAAACCATCGCTATCACTGTACAGCTGTATCAAGTGCGCGTTTCGATAGCGCAGCAAATGCCTATTGTTACGTAAGCTGTAAACTCTACTATGATTGACGGTTGGTTTTGACCAGGTTCCCCGAGTACAGCCGCCAACACTTACCCAACATAGCATTTACAAAACTCGTGACTCAAGCTGGTTGTAGAAAGGTGAACGCCAGGGCTACTTTGATGCAGGAAAATTGAGAAATTACAGCGGTAGAACGGTAAATTGGGCTGGTTGGAATGCTTGCGTGATTGACGTGGCGCTAAAAACAAAGACTTAAGGATCACAGAGGGGAAACATCCTAGCAATGATGAACGCACAACCAAGCAATAGGACTTTCTGTTGGGAAAGCATGATCTTCTGAGCGTAAAAGACAAGAAAATTCCGCAAACGCTTCAATGCAAAGGCGAAAAAGGGAGTCCACATACCCCATGCTGAACGAGATCTCCCGAACACGATGATGTCCACGATGATTCTGCTACTGAAACTGTGGCCCGTGCACACAAAGGTGGATTTGCTAAGAATTGAAGGATGACTTGAAACTTCATAAAATGGTACGTGTAGCATGCAGAAATAAAAAAATACAAAATTGTGTTGAAGTCAACAGCGTGGTACATGACAGGACAGTTTTATTAACAGAAAAACAAGTGCAAAAGAAACATGAATCAGCACTCACGTCTAACAAGGAATAGAGTGAACTGATAGAAGCAATGACAATAGGTTTTGAAAATAAGTAATACCTTGAAAACAAACACACGCGGGACCCAAATTTATTCCTAGGTTTAAATGTGGAAGAAAGTTTATTCACCTTTTCCACAGAAAATGTATTAGACTAAGTGTGGTGAATCCAACACATCGTCATAAGTGGTCATGTATATACTCATATAAGGTTCATAGTTTACAACAATGGACGTTATTGCACATATTTGTTTCCCTTCCGATAATACGCTAATGCGGCATGTGAATAATGTAGAACGGATATGGCCGTACTACAGTTTCAGCTTCTTCCACGTACTTTCCGACTTCACCATGTAGTGGGTCAGTGCCATTCCACAAAAATCACTATACACGAACATTCAACATCGAGTCAAGAAGAAGACGAAGCCAGTCTATCCCTGCACTGGCCTGCCCTAAGGCGCAAGAAAAGTGGCTATCAAAAGCGTCCCGCAGCTTTCGCCACGATGAGTGACATCGAGACCAACCCGTACAGCACCCAGTACCCTGTTGTGGTCCAACCACCGTACCGCTCTGTGAGATCGTACAGTACTGGAGCGTATGACACAATGGGACCATATGGCTTCATGGGACCGTATGGCCCTATGTTACCCTACGGCCCCATGGCACCTTACAGTCGCTCTCGGCAGCAGGGCTACGACAGCCGCACGTGAGTTGCTTTTCACGTCAGTCAAGCATAAACGACGGTGACTCCACGTCCCATACAGGAGCACCTGCATGTGCTGTGCAAGTTCCAGTTGCAATAGCGCGTTGTCTTTAGCATTCCTCTACATAGCTCTTCAACCAAAATCTTCCTCTGGAGTGTATGTACTAGTTATAAAACATGTTACATCCCCAACTTTATCTAAAATTTGTACATAGTGTGTTCTAGATAATTTCTCCTAAAGCATTTTCTGAAACATTTCAGTGGCGTAGCCAAGAGGCCACTGAAAGTTTCACGATTTGCTGTTCCTTAACGAGCACCATCTGCGTTCTTTCACCCCTTTCCAGCATCGGTGTTCCTTAACCTCTTTGGGGGGATGGGGGGTTCTTGCCCAATTTCTTTTTCAATTTTGCTTGCATATATATATATATATATATATATATATAAACGCACACAAGAACTTGCATGAAGAATGCTTCAAACTCTCCCACCCCCCAAAAAAATTTCTGACTACACCCCTGCAGCATTTATGTAATCATGGAAACTCTCAGGTGCATTGTGGCTCTGGTTGGGCCAGTTTCAGCGTCCAGAATTTTTTATTTACCCACTCATATTTATGTCAAAATGCTTATATTTCAAATGACATCATACAAGAGCGAATCATGAGTACTTGTTGGGTGTTTTGTACCTTTTATTTCGACCTGTACACTTTTCCATAGAATCATCGAAGGTCTTCAGTATCGTAGTTTATTGCCTCGCGATTCGACTGCCGCAAAAATGTCCCGAATGTGCCGAGAGCGAATGGAACTACAGAGATTAGTCGCAGGCTTCAAGCACTTCAGTTCTTTTCTCGCTCGGCGATCAGGCTGGAAGTTACACAGGCATATATAGCGCGGAGAAGCAAGTTACGAAAACGATAAATGTAACCTTAAATCTGTTTCACATGCCGCGATTGCAACTAAAAAAGATCGTTCCGTTCAATCCCATCGCTCTGTTCGCAACTGTCGCTAATGGCGGTTTTGTTCCACATGGACCGCGAATGGTCCGCGATTTTCGCTCTGTGACTGGAGCGACGAGCTCTTGCCACCGATCTTAGTGACAGACACGAATGTAATATAATAGTATGTGCATTATGATATCATGAAGTTTCCCTGAACGGTAACGAAGGGCCCGCTTGTTTCGTCATTTAAGAACACTTTCCAGTCTAAACTCATTTTAAAACGCACAGCATCGGCCATTACCAAAACAAACACGTCGACTCTATTTCGACGGCTTGGCCGGACCAGCCCTATTTCGACGGGTCTCGACCGAAAATCGCTCCCGCCGCTGCGATCAGAGCGAAAATTTCCAACATGTTGGAAGCTCGCTGCGGACCGCTGCGGCGGGAACGAACTGCTCTTTTTTTTCGCTCGCAGCCTGAAAATTGCTACTTTTTGTGTAATGCGAAACGGTCTTTACAAGACGATCTTGCCAATAAAACAGGATGAAAGCAGATTGGCTCAGGGACTAAACGGGAGTTAAGGATAGCATAGTTGTTATCAAGAAGAAATGGACATGAGCCTTGCACGTAGCGTTCAGGCGGGATAACCACTGGTCATTAAGGATAACGGACTCGACTCCGAGAGAAGGCAAACGCGTTGGGCGGAGAGTCAGAATTAGGTGGGCAGATGAGATTAAGAGCATGGCAGCAGAAAGCACAGGACAGGTTTGACTGTAGAAGCATGGGAGAGGCTTTTGCGCTGGCAAGTGCCGCAGTCAGGTTGATCATGATGATGAAGAAGTTACGGCAGCCAGCGTCATGCACTTTGAACGTTTGGCAATTGTTTGCGTGCATTTTATTGACGTAGTTTTCGTGACCGAAATGACGTCAGTGAGGTCTTGTTATAACTCCTCATAAAAAGTTTAGTGTTTGACAAAGCGAGACACAAAACTGAATGTGGACCACGTCGTTCAGGTGGAAAGTAAAATTCTTCTTTCCACGCTTGCTTCGTCTCCTTCCTGGATGTGACCAACTTCCGGTGACAGCCAAAACCTGCTGTTCTACATCTGCGCGGTGTCGTTCATGTGCGCCTTCGTGGTTCTCATGGTGTACTCGGCTATCGCGATGAGGCGCCACCTGTACAACCTCACCACGGAAGATGGCGGTAACAGCAGCAGCTCTGCCAGCAGCTCTGCCAGGAAGACTGACGTCACTGGCTCCTCGACGCCAGCACCATTTGACTGGCGGCAGCCGAATGACGATCGCACCGGTGACCGGGACGGTGTACGAAACGATATCGTCCCCGATCAGTACCGGTGAGTGCACGTTGCTTCCGATTGTACTTTATTGTTCACAATGGCTATAGTGATTGTTCGGCGTTTACACCTTAAAACCGTGATATGAATTTGGCGGATGCCATCTGGTGTTCTTTAACATGCTCATAAATCTGAGCACGCATGTCTCACGCATGTCTCACGCATTCCGCCTCCGTGTTGATGTGGCCACGACGTCAGGTATTTATTCCCGTTATCTTCGGATCAGCTATCGAGCCCCATAACTACAAGACCAATGTGGAGGATACCTTAACGTAGAAGTACTGATTTGTTCTAAACACTGGCCCGTTATTTCTACGACTGGCGTTTGATTTGTGTAATTTGCCTTCGTAACGTTCGCTTCGCATTGTGACAACCACTCTTTCTATTATTAGCATGCCTGTACTGCCAAGTTCAAAATTTCGTAGATGTATCATTCCTGTTGTGACACCCATTGCGTTATTTTTTGACTGCTCATTGTAATGTCCGCTTTGTTAATGTGATGCCTTACGACTCACCCTGCAATGGCCTAATGGCCAGCGGTATATTGTTAGTACAAATAAAATGCGTTGGTAAAGGTGACAAATACGCGAAAAGAGAGGGTGTCATGGAGGTGGAGGCCGGGCTCCCTCGCCTTCCTCCCGGATCGGTTCACGCTGGCAAGAAATTCTGATCAATCACTGGTGGAACTTGTTTGAAACATGTACCATAGTGCTACAGAAGAAGCTGTTTCACGCTAATAAAGTTTATGTATTCAAGCTGACGCTATGCGGCGAATGATGCAAACACGTGATTACTTTCGTACGAAGTTGCTTGCTTTTCGCCGCTCTCTAGAACTAGAAATAATTCGCTTCCCACCTTGTCATCCACCATTTTACGTTATTGGCTAGCCATACATGTATTTACTAGTACGTATATCCTATTCCCGACTGAGGATCACTATCTATACTACTATATTTATTTACCAGAGCTTTAATTACTACTCCAAAACACCAACAAATTAGTATACAGTCTTAAAGGCAGCAATAGTTCATTCTTCAGCAGTTAGAGACTTTTTTTTCTTTTTTACTTTTCATGCAAACCAACCACCCGCAAGGTACACGCTCAACGTAACAATCACATAGAAGTAGCCAATTATTTCGCAAAGCACGAGTCCGCAACTTGTCAGTTGACAGGAAACGTCAGAGTAGGAGCGCTACAACTCTAAATTAGCAAAGCTCCGACATTGCAGTCATTTTAAAGCAAATGATGTCCAAATTGAGCGAAGCAGGAAGTTAGGAGAGAGTAAACGCGTGAGAAGGCGGATATCATCAAATGCACTGAGCTAGCCTAAAAGTGCAAGGTCAGAAGTTCGAAGCCACGCCGGGTAAGCTTTCCTTACGGAAGCATGGGCTCTCAAACAGACAAAGGCCAGGCGAGCTACGAGTCATGTGAATTTTAGAGCTGATAGGTGGTAAGGCGCTATTCGACAGTGCTAAGAAAGTTCAACAGAACCGTCTACTCAGAGTGAGCGTAGCAGCCTAGCATGCCATGACAAACTTCTGTATTTATAAGAGTCCATTCAAAAAGGTCAAGATAAGGACGTACAGGAGACCTGATCTCAGGGAGGAAATGAGAACGCGTGCATTCCTGAGATGGTTCTGAGATGCTCACTTTCTGATGGGGTGGTGTTTTTTTTTCTTCATTCACTAACCGTATAGCTTGCTAGAAGACACTCCTGAAGAACGTAAGAAGGCGGATCGTCGGCACCGACTACTCGTCCC